CCCCTCGGCAGAGTACAGCCAGAGGAAGCCAGTCAGGGCTTCTACAGCAGGGCCCTGTTGACCACGGAAGGGTAAGGCTGCCCTTGAGCCTGCCTACAAGACTCCTCCTCAATGATGAGACCCATTTCTCTTATATCCACGTCACTCATATCTGGCCCATAGCTCCTCACTGGACCCCCATCACCCTGCTTGCTCCCCTGTAATCTATTCTTCTCCCACCTCACCCCCTGACCCTGCACCCAGAATGACCTTTTAAAAATATAAATCAGACCATGTCACCACCTTGCTTAAAACCTCCCTGTCGCACTTAGAACGAAATCCCAGCTCCCTGCCCTCACAGACTACTTCAGGGGCAGCTGGGGACTGTAGAGGAGAGTCACTCACTTTCAGCTATTACTGACGGGGTTGGCAGCATGGGCTCTGGCACCAGGAAGCCTGGACTTGATACTATTTAGCTATTTACCATCTCTGTAAATTTGAGCAGTTTCCTTAAACACCTCTCTAAACCTTAGTTTCCTCATCTGTAAACTGGTTATGATAAGTTCCTATCCTACAGAGCTTGTGTAAAGCACTCAGTATACTCACATTCAACATTAGCCAATAAAAATAATCACAATAATGGAAACATTAATTTAAAACCAGGGTCTGAATGTTCAACTATAAGCTTTACACACACTTCCCTAGCTGACAAGTCACACTGTCTATACACACTAAATATGTCAGAAGTTTACTTGTAGAAGACAAGCTAGCAATTGGACTAATGGAATAATAAAACCACAAAACTTATAGCTGGAAAATGGCCAGAAAACTACAATAGGATTTTCTAAGGTTTTACAATGCCCAGAGAAATTTAGCAAGCTCTTATTTCATGTGGTTGCATTATCTATTGAGATATGCCCTCATTCTGAATTTGAGAAAAAACAGGGGAAAACTAGTCCCCTAATACCTTTTTTATCATTTGAAAACCTGTCACTTATTCAGAGTATGACTTACACCCACAGTGTCCCTGCAACTGTCCATCCCCCAGTTGGGACACCCATATTTCTCAGGGAAGCCATTATATTTACAGGCAACGCCAATTTTTATAAGCAACATCATATAAAACCAAAATGTTTTCTATTAATGAGTACTCATTAGTCTGTTTCACCCTCCTCAGATGTCATTTAAAATCTCTTCCATGTGACAGTCTTTAAATAGCTATAGATAGCAGCCTTATCTCCCACTAAGCAGTCTCTCCTACAGGTTAAAGTTCCCAGGTCCTTCAATCTTTCCTTGAGCACATCTAGACTGCATAATCCTGGGCAAATTTTTCTGAACATGCTGCTCTGTGAACGTCCCTCTTGAAAGGGACCCCTCCAAAGTACACACTATCCTCCAGGGGTAGTCTTGCCACACTGAATGGAGTAAGATATCACCTCCTTCATTTTGGACATATTTCTATTGATATAGTCAAAGATCACATTAGATTCACTGGCAGACACAGTGACTTGCTTACAATCAACTAAAACCACCATGCTTTTCATGCATACTTCTTTAAGCCATGCTCTCCCATCAACATTGTTCTATTTGTTTTTTTCCACCTACCAGCAGGATTTTACATGTATTCCCTATCTCCTTCATTTGTTGGTATCTTTTTATTATTCTAGCCTCTCCAGGTCATTTTGGATTATGATTCTGTCATCCATGGGCTAGTATATATAGTTTCATGTCATACAAGTATTGGATTACCAGGTCATCCATATCCTCATGCTAGTCACGGACAAAGCTGTTGAATGGGCCCCTGCCATCTGCCATCCAGACTTGCTGCCAGCCTCACAGGGGCTCATTAACTACCATTCTTTAGACCCATTCTGTGGTAGACACACCCTAGGGTCATCTCCAATGACTCATACCCTCGTGTAATCCCTTCCCCTTGAGTGTAGAACCTGTGACTTGCTTCTAACCAACAGAACATGGCAAAGATGATGGCATGTCACCCCCTTGACTTACATTAGATGAGATGACGTTACATAACACAGTCTCAGCAGACTGGAGTGAGAGACTCCCTTGCAAGCTCTGAAGAAGCTGCAGTGTTGTCAGATGGTCACATGGCAAGGAACTGTAGGTGGTCTCTAGGCCAGTACCCCTTACTCCCCTGAAATCCCCCAGGAACCTCAATCTCACATTTGCAAGGACATGAACTCTGTCAAGCACCTGAGGGAGCGTGGAAATGGATCTTTCCCCAGTCAAGCCTCTGATGAAACCTCAGCCCCTCGGTGACACTGCACCCTGGTGAGAGACCCTAAGCAGAGGACCCAAGCCTTGCCCAGACTCCTAACCCACAGATATTGTGAGATAAGAAATGGGTGTCACCTGGGTGGCCCAGTCAGTTAAGCATCCAACTCTTGATTTTGGCTCAGTTCACGATCTCATAGTTTGTGAGTTCAAACCCTTGTCAGGTTCTTTGCTGACAGCATGGAGCCCGCTTCAGATTCTATCTCTCCCTCCGCCCCTGCCCTGC